AACAGCCTTTACTGAGAATTATTTTATTGTTTTTCACAAACAAAGAAAAGTGTTGGCTAGCGTCAGCATGGTTCTTATATAAACTGTTACAGTCTTCTCTATGTTTTTTTTTTTAATTCCTTTGAGTTCTTGGTTGGAGTAACCTCGCCGTTTCTAGTGGATCTCTTTGCGATACTTTGGTAACGACGGTCGATGGCCAAAAATTCGACACGAAAGAATTGGACAATGACCGGGGTCTGTCGATGGTCGCTGATTGGTCGTTACCAATCTTCGAAATTGCAGAAAAGCACCGAGAAACTGTGCTTAGTCGGGTGAGCAATCTTAGCACTTTGATCTTGCTTCGCCAGTTAATATCTGGTACCAGTATAACAAGTGGTAATTGTAGAAATGAATAAACCCGTCTATGAGTTCTATTTTGATCCTGTAAATTAGATGCTAAACATAGGAGTTACAACAAAAGGGAGCACTAAAATTCCTTTTCGGTTTTACTTAGTTTAGATGCTTGGAACTGCTTTCACAGGAAGCTGACGCTAGATTGAGAGCTGAGATAGATTCGCGAGAACTGCTTTCAGGCCAAGCGTGGTTTTGAAAGGGGTGACCTCTTGTGTCAGTCCAAGTTAACTCTTCATCTCGTATGCTGAGGTGTAAAAATGCATATTTTAATCCCTTGGAACTCTAGTCGTTCATCACATCAGCTCAAATCATATGAACATGATATGAAGTGTGACCTAAGAATTCCTCCTTCAAGAGAGCGAACATTGAAGCTAATTCTGCTTATTTCATGCAGGAAAAGCATCATTATACTTTTATTGTCCAATTCTCATTGTAATGTTTTACATAATTCCTGTTTTCCTCTCCAAACCTGCGCTTCTACTTCTGATTTCAACACATTTTCATTTCGATCATTCCTCACTTCCACCGTTTACTTTATTTGAAGTGAAAGATGTAGTTTAGCTTACCTACACGGTATTCAAGCAAGCGGATTTGTTTCGGATATTCAAGCTGTCACCTCTAAAATTTTTCAATTTCTTCCATGCGCTGGAGCGAGGATACTGGGACAT